GTTGACAACAATCTCGGATGGTATAGTGGTAGCACCTCCGCCTGTCACGCGGAAGACCGGGGTTCGATTCCCCGTTCGAGAGCTTTTTTTTTGTCGATTTGCCCTGGCCTTGGCAGGATTTGTGCTGGGTTGTGTGGTGTGCCAGCAGAGTGTCTGAGAGGGCTGCGTGGCCGAGAGACGCTGCGAGGGAATGCCGCGACGGTACGGTAGCAACAATGGCTGGAGCGGTAAGCGCCAGATTGAGTGGATATCTGGGCAACAAAGTCGGGTGGGAATCAAGTCATCTCCACCCTGCACAAGCCTCCGCGCGGCCAGTAAAACAAAAAGCAACAAATGACGATTCGCACTTTTCCAAACTCTTTTTTCTCACAGCAACCGAAAATTAGCCGCCTTAAAAAATAGTTGATGGAACTGGGACAAAAGGAGCCGCTCATTACTACTCCAGTGACAGCTGTTGTACCATGCGACGTAACGATCAAGCAAGACTCCCGCTGGGCGGATTTGATATTTGGATCCGTAAGTATTCAGCCAATGCTCTTATCCGTCAGCTTAGTGGGTTCACTGGCAAGATTGTCGAATACCCCTTTGATACGCTCAAAGTCCATTTGCAGACACAGGGCCGGCAATCGGTGCGAGAGTGCGTTCAAAGCATTCTGCAGAAGGAGGGGATGCGAGGCTTCTTTAATGTACGTTGCTTGCTTTGACCGCAGGGTATTTCTGCCCCCTTGATGGGCTCCATGGCCGAAAACGCAGTGCTCTTTCTCTCCTACAACCACATCCAAAGCTGTATCCGCAAAATCCACCGAGTCGACGAGGGAGTCCCGCTCTCTCTTTCCGACCTCTGTCTCGCGGGAGGGCTGTCGGGTGCCGTTGTTTCGTTTGTTTTGACCCCAATCGAGCTTTTGAAGTGCCGGCTGCAAACTCAGTCCTATCTGGCCGCCTCGGGAGTGGCCGGTGCTTCCAATCGGTACTGCGGTCCGGCCTCGGTTTTCTTTGACACCTTGCGTGCCAGGGGGCTCTCGGGACTGTACCAGGGTCACACCGGCACACTGCTCCGCGAAGTGGCCGGAGGTGTGGCCTGGTTTGGTGTCTACGAAATGAGCGTCAAGCACATGATTGCCCAGAGCGCCGTGGCCAAGAGCAAAAACGACTTGTCTACCTGGCAGCTGATGGGGGCTGGTGCTCTGGCCGGCATGGCATACAATGCCGCCCTGTATCCGGCCGATGTGGTAAAGAGCCGCATGCAAAGCGGACTCCACGGGAACGATGGCTTTGTCAAGGTAGGCACACCGATGGCTGTTGGCTCACTCCGCGTCTGTCTGCGTTCAATGGCTTACCAATAGGTTACCAGAGATATTTGGGGCAGCCATGGCGGCCGCTTCTTTTTCAGAGGGTTTGGAATCACAGTGTGCAGATCGGCACCATCTTCAGGTAGCGCACAGTGCTGCTGACCACAGGGGTTATCTTTTTGACGTACGAATGGCTGAGCCGAACCTTTGGGGTTCCGTCCCACTAGTGTGCGCAGAATAAACCGTCGAGATGGGCAGTGCAGTGTCGGCAGTGCAGCCAAAGTCGATCAAGCGAGGACAGCAGCAGTTTCTCCAGAAAGAGCAAACCATGAAGCTTTCAAGTCTTGGGGTTTTGTTTGCCCTTTGTGGCCAAATCGTGTGTCAGTCTTTTCCGGATTCGTTTTACGAGGCGGAGCCACGGGATGGTCTGGTAGGGCAATGGCTGCTTATCCTAGACCCATGCCAACTACAACAGTGAAAGGGACTCCTACTGGACCGACTACTGGGATGCCAGAGTGCCTATGGCTGCCTTTGCCAAGCCCAAGCCTGCTCCGGTGTCCAAGCCAGCCGGTAAGCGATCGACTGGCTCTAACCGGTAGATGCTCCCAAGGCTGCTGCCAATGTCGAGAGCAAGCCTGCTGCCAAGGTCGAGAGCAAGCCTGCTGCCAAACCCGAAGGCAAACGCTCGGTCAAGGCCAAAGTCAAGGCAGAGGCCAAAAAGGCCGTCCATGCAGTTGCCAAGGAAATCAAAAAGGAAAAGAAGCTGATTTCCGAGGCAAAGGCGCTGAAAAAGGACGCTGCAAAGGTGAAGCATCTTGCCGAAAAGGTCCAGGGCAAGTCTGTTTCCGAGATTAAGAGTATGTGCACAGTGGCATCTGACTGCTTAGGCATGGTCAAGTCTGCCTCAAAGGAAACCCGAAAGGCAGTGTCTGCTGCCATCAAAAAGGCCCAGGAAAAGTATCCTGGCGACAAGGCGGCTGTCGCAAAGGCCGTAGCCAAGGCTCTCAAGAAGGAGGCCAAGAACCTGAAAAAGGAGGCCAAGGAGACAAAGAAAGATGCCAAAAAGGCTGTGGTCCATCTGGAAAAAAAGCTGTCAGACGTCAAGACCACTGCAAAAGTGGCCTCCAAGCTGGCCACGAAGGCAATCAAGTCGATTCCCGGGCTGTCATCTGCCGCAGCAAAGTCTCTGTCAAAGGACATTGCGACTGCCGTGAAAATGGCTGGTAAGCGCTGCGGATCTCATGTGTAGGCGGCGACCCGAAAAAGGCAGCAAGAGCCGTCAAGAAGATTGTTGCGCTGGAAAAGAAGACGATTGCTGCGTCAAAGAAAGCGCTCAAGTCGATTCCCAATGCTTCGCCGCTGGTTGCCAAGGCTGTCAACTCCAAGATCAAGAGCATTCTGGGAGAGTTTGGCAAGAACTCTAAGGGTGCTGTCAAAGCCATTGCCAAAGTGGTTGCCACCCAAAAAGTCGTCAACAAGGCCCTGACTGCTGCGTTGAAAAAGATACCTGGAGCCTCCATCCACGTGCAGCGCGATCTCCAGCGCACGGTTTCCAAGCTGGCCGAAAAGTATGCTGGAAACAAGGCCGGCTTGAAAAAGGCCGTGGCCAAGGCGGTTGCCGTGCAGAAAAAAGTCTCGGTTGCTCTGAACAAGGCTCTGGCGCGCATCCCCAAGGCCTCGGCCTCGCTAAAGGCCGACATCCAGCGGTCTCTGAAGAAGATCTACTCCAAGCCTGGCATGACGGCAAAAGTTGCGCGGAAGCAAATCGCCAAAGCCATCAAGACCGCCAAGGTTGTCGACAAGGCGCTGAAAAGAGCCACCAGGAGGCTCCGAGTGCCTACGATTCTCAAGACCCAGCTCAAAGGCGAAATCGCCAAGATCGTCAAGAAGGTGGGGCTGAAGAACACCAAGGCCATCAACAAGGCTGTGAAGAAGGCCGTGAAAACCATCAAGGCCGTCAACAAGCAGCTATCCAAGGCCCTGAAAAGGTTCCCCACTGCCAACCGTGCCACGCAACGCATTCTGTCCAAGGGCATCGGCAAGATCCTGAAAAAGACCGGCGGCAAGCTCACGCCCAAGGCCAAAAAGTCGATCAAGAAGCTTGTGAAGCAAACAAAGATTGCCTTCAAAAGCTACAAGTCGGCCATCCGAAAGATGCCGGGGGCTTCGCTCGCGACCCGCAAGCTGCTCCAGAAGGGCGTCATCAGACTGGCTAAAAAATACGGCAACGACAAGGCACAGCTGAAGAAGGGTCTGAAGCGTCTGGTGAAGAAACTGAAGCGCACCTCCAAGGTCAAATCGCTGCACAAGATCAAGACCAAGGCTAAGAAAAAGTACCTCAGCGCCAAAAAGAAGCTGAAGGCCATCAAGAGGAAAACAAAGGCCCTGGCCAAGAAGAGAGCCATTGCCGCGAGGAAGAAGGCAGCCATTTTGAAAAAGAAGGTCAAGAACACCAGCAAAACTGCCCTCAAAAAGTACTTTGGCACCAACATCTCGAAGCGCACGCGAAAGGCAATGGAAAAGGCAGCGAAAAAGGCCATCAAAAAGTACAAAAACGACAAGAAGGCCATCAAAAAGTATCTGGCCAAGGTAGCCAAGAAGCTCAAGACAAGACAGCTGAAGACGCAGATCAAAAAGACCACCAAGCAGGTGCTGTCGCTCTTCCCCAAGTCGTCTGCCAAAGCAAAGCGCAAGCTCAAGAAGGACATTGCCATGGCGGTGAAGAAGTTTGGCAAAAAGAAAAAGGTTCTGCAGCGATACATCTCCAAGCTGGTTGAGAAATCCGCCATTTTGAATGCATACAAGAACCCTATCAAGACCCTGTACAAGGCCTCGCTCAAGCACTACAAGGGAATGCCCAAGAAGTGGAAAAAGGCTCTGTCGCGCAAGCTGAAGAAGCTGTTTATCAAATACAAGGGCAACCAGACTCTAATCATGAAAAAGTTTGAAAAGGCGATGCGACACTTTGATAAGATGTACAACAAGCGAAAGGCCCGACTTGCTCTTGGAGAAAAGGTGGACGACGAGTCGCTCTTTGGCCGTCGTGGCAAGAAGCACCGCAAACATCGCAAACAGCGCGATTCGGACTCTTCTGATTCGTCGGCTTCCGCAAGCTCCGAGTCGGGAGGCGGTTCTGGAAGCGATGCAAGTTCCGGTGGCGATGGCGGTTCCTCTAGCAGTGATGGCGGTTCCTCTAGCAGTGATGGTGGTTCCTCTGGTGGTGACGGCGGTTCCTCTGGTGGTGACGGCGGCTCCTCTGGTGGTGACGGCGGCTCCTCTGGTCCAAGTGCTGGAAACGAAGCTGCTGCTGCTGGCGGTGACGGTGGCGGTGCTTCCGGGAGCGATGCAGGTGCTTCCGATGGAGCTGCTGCCGGTGGTGATGCTGGTGCCGCGGCTGGAGGCGATGCTGGTGCTGCTGCTGGTGGAGATGCTGGATCCGGTGCTGGAGGCGATGCTGGCGCTGCTGCTGGCGCTGACTCTGGTGCAGGCGGGGACTCTGGCGCTTCTGGTGCTGGTGGAGATTCTGGTGCCGGAGGCGATGGCGGTGCCGGTGGATATTCTGGAGCTAAAAATGTTGCAAGTGATTCCGGTGCTGGCGCTGACTCTGGTGCTGGTGGAGATTCTGGTGCTTCTGGTTCAGGTGGAGATTCTGGTGCTGGTGGAGACTCCGGTGCTGGAGCCTCAAGTGGTGATGGTGGTGCCGGTGCTGATTCTGGCTCTGGCGGTGATACCGGTGCTTCTGCCGGTGGTTCTGATGGTGCTGCTGCTGGAGCTTCTGATGGTGCTGCTGCTG